GTGTGGGACCTCACGTGACCCCAGGGAAGGTTTATGAATGATCAAAATTTTAAAAATGTGTGTTTAAAAGTTTTTTATTTTTGAAAAATTTTGAAAATGTGCAAAAAATATTATGAAATCCGCAAACTTTTTTTGTTTTCGTTTGATACTGTACAAAGAGAAGATGTTCAGAGATAAAGCCACAATTAAAAGGTGAAATAGAAGATGGGCGCGAAGCGCCCTAAAAGCCTAGTTTAGAATAAATAGTTTAAATCAAGTAGAATATTACGTCTAAAATTAGAAATCTACTTTCCGGTTAAATTTCATGTTCAGCTTTCATCCTTTAAATTATTATTAAAACTTGTGAAACCCTTTAATCAAATAATCAATCAGTTATTCAGTTATTAATTTAGTTTAAACCAGCTCCAGGTTCTAGTTCCAGTACAAGGATATAATTTAGTTTGAACCAGCTCCAGGTTCTAGTTCCAGTACAGGGATATAATTTAGTTTGAACCAGCTCCAGGTTCTAGTTCCAGTACAGGGATATAATTTAGTTTAAAACCAGCTCCAGGTTCTAGTTCCAGTACAGGGATATAATTTAGTTTGAACCAGCTCCAGGTTCTAGTTCCAGTACAGGGACATAATTTAGTTTGAACCAGCTCCAGGTTCTAGTTCCAGTACAAGGATATGATTTAGTTTGAACCAGCTCCAGGTTGTAGTTCCAGTACGGGGACATAATTTAGTTTGAACCAGCTCTAGGTTGTAGTTCCAGTACGGGGACATAATTTAGTTTGAACCAGCTCCAGGTTCTAGTTCCAGTACAGGGATATAATTTAGTTTGAACCAGCTCCAGGTTCTAGTTCCAGTACAGGGATATATTTCTTTACTTCTTCTCCTAAACTGGAAATTTTCTAACTTTCTAATTCCTTCCTATCCTTCCTAATTCCTTCCTAACCTTCCTAACCTTCCTAATTCCTTCCTATCCTTCCTAATTCCTTCCTAACCTTCCTAACCTTCCTAACCTTCCTAATCTTCCAAACCTTCCTAATCTTCCTAACATTCCTAATCTTCCTAACATTCCTAATCTTCCTAACCTTCCTAATCCCTTCCAACCTTCCTTATTACTTTCTAGCCTTCCTAATTCCTTCCTAAACTTCCTAACCTTACCAATCTTCCTAATTTTCCAAACCTTCCTGACCTTCCTAACCTTCCTAACCTTCCTAACCTACCTAACCTTCCTAAACTTCCTAATTCCTTCAAACCTTCCTAATTCCATCCTAACCTTCCTAACCCACCTAACCTTCCTAACCTTACTAACCTAATAAATTCATAATAAATATTCTCAACACTCCAGGATCATATAAATAATTCAAAAAAAAAAGTTTTCTTCTTCTCTTTCATAAATCCATTATGTAGAGTACACTTAAGATACGGTCAGAATATATACAGTCAACATTATCTCAACTTTAAACTTCAACAATTCATTCTTTAAAAGTTAAAACTTAAAAATATGGTAAATTCAGGAAACTAGTTTGATAATATAACAGAAACTAGGGGATCGGGGAAAGGAAAAAGAGGAATAGAGGAAAGAAAACGGAAAAAAGTGGAAAAGGTGGGATAGGAGAAAGGGGGAAAGGCGGAAAAGGAGAAAACGGGAACACGTGGTAAAAGAATAGATATAGAAATTATGTAAAAAGAAAAGTGTCTAAAGGGGAAAATGTAAAAAAGGGAAGGGGGAAAGGGAAAAGAGAAAAAATAGCAGAAAGTTGCCAGGGTTACCCTCAAAGAATGAAACTATTGAATCAATTGTACGGAATTCAATAAATCTTTATTCTTTTAGAAATTGAGACTTTGCCACATACTCTGTATGATTTTTTAATCCCTATTCCAATATCTTAGACACTTTAACACTGTATTACAATGGGGGAAGGGGAAGGGCAGGGGTATAAAATATACGAACACTAAAATGTTATTCAGATTTGAATTGAATTATACTATTTAGGTGTGCACAATATATTCTAGTACAGTGACAGTATTCCTATAGTTAGTTTAACTTCTAAAGGAAATATAGAAAATTTCATATTTTTCGAATCAAACCCAGTTCTAGGAAATATACACGAGCTATACCAGAAACTATACATGAAATATACCAGAATGTTAACATGAACTATACCAGAATATAAACATAAACTTTACCAGAATATAAACATGAACTATACCAGAACACAAACATGAACTATACCAGAACATAAACATGAACTATAACAGAACATAAACATGAACTATACCAGAACATAAACATGAACTATAACAGAACATAAACATGAACTATACCAGAACATAAACATGAACTATACCAGNCATATTCTTAATGATTCAAACATGAACTATACAAGAATATAAACATGAACTATACAAGAATATAAACATGAACTATACAAGAACGTAAACAAGAGCTGTACCAGAACATAAACATGAACTATGCCTGAACATAAACATGAACTATACCAGAACATAAACATGAACTACACACGAATATAAACATGAACTATACCAGAACATAAACATGAACAATACAAGAATATAAACATGAACTATACAAGAATATAAACATGAACTATACCTGAACATAACCATGAACTATACCAGAACATAAACATGAATTATACAAGAATATAAACATGAACTATACCATAGCATAAACATGAACTATACAAGAACGCGTAAACTTAAATTATAAACATGAACTTTGCCAGGAATAATTTTGATAAAATTAACTTAGTATTTAGCACCTGTTGGGTGTCCATTTTAATTATAATATTTACCATATTTTAAAGGGACTAAAGTCACCCTACAATATTATAGTGGAATGAAAGTACGATTTTGAACGTCGACTTTGCGCTCAAACTTGGCTCAAACTCAGTAATTAAACATCATCAAAACGCTTTATATGTCTCAAATGAATCCTAAAGAATTTGTCCACAACACTGCATACTCAGTTCAACTACCTTACATAGCCGGTCTGTCTCTTTTTAAAAGTACGTTTACATTCCCTTCAATTACATAATCTGAAAGAATAAGATCTAACGAATAAAATGTTATTAAGCAGTTGCGCACAAGAACATGAAAAGTATCCAGAAAAGAGAGTTTCAAAGCTCGTGAATTATGTCTGTATTCGGGTTGGCTTCTCCAGGTTCTCTGGTTCTATCCCTCGGTTCTCCGGGACCAGTTTACTCCGCACCTTCCTCAGGAACGGAGCACAACCTCGCAATATCATTTCAAGTAAAACCCAAACTAATAGTTGAAATGTCAAGTGATTTGTCGTGTAAAGTTGTGAAAAAGTGAAAAATTCAAAAATCTAACACTTGCCCTCCATTATCAGACCATAGTGTTAACCTAGAAAAATATTAATTTGTCCATGAAATATTATTTTGTCCATGAAATATTTAGGGTTACTGTTGTTCCAACACTGTTTCACGATTCTACAGGTATATAAAGTGAAACCCTTAACAATGAATACATCGGAAGAATTCATCAAATGTCGTCTTGACAATTTTTCAATGAGTTTTATACTTTATTACCTAAATTTCAGTATTTGCGAAAATAAATAAATAACCATGAATATGCGGGAACAGTTTTAAAGAGTTTCATATAATCATTTAATTAAAAAACTAAATATCTGCAACATTTCATTATAAGAAATTGTGAAGAATACGACATTTGATGAATTCTTTCGATGTATTCGTTATTAAGGTTTCACTGTACAATAATATCAACTGTGCAAATTTTTTTTTTGCAATGTCACAATTTCTCTTATTTATAATTGTTTTTAACTTTTTTTAAATCGATGTCTTTTTTATCAAGTTCGTTATTTGATTATAAGTAATATTCGTCTGATTTTTTTAATAGCTACGAGCTAGAATTTTTGATTAAAATCTAATTTTTAGACCTTCTTATTATTTAATTTGAATTATTTTTGTTAATCTGTTAATCCGAAATTCAATATTAAATTATAATTCAAACTGATCCTTGTATAGCGAATTCAATCTTTAGATTTAAAGAAGTTTAAAGGGACCGTTCACTTATTAGTGTAATTTCATGGTAAACTAATTAGCATATTATCTATTCATTGATTAGTCTTACTTTTCATAAATATCTATGACCAAAGAATAAGCCGATTTATCGTTTAGAATTCCAGCATGGACACTATATTTAAACGCTTTTCAGTAACAGCAGCCAAATAAAATCTAATATTATCATAATTCAATGACATCATGTGTCATCAATTGCATAATAAAATATAAAAACTTTTGATTTTAAAATTAGCAAAATATTACCGTTTTTCTTGTTCAAACATGATTTAACAAATCAACACGTTTATACAAAGACGAATTTCTTTCTCAGGCAAACCGGTTCCTAGATTCCAATTCTTCATTTAATCACGGGGATTTCTGGAGAAGTAGAGAAAACGTAATAAACCGTCAACTGTTTGAAATAAGTTATATTTTGAAAATAGACAATTTAAAAATGATTTTGAAAAATATCTACACAATTAACTATTAGATACTACAATTTAATTTCATATTTGAAAATTTTAAAAAATCTATGACTATGACAAAAAGCATCAAGTAGTGTAAATGCAAAGGTATCAGACTTTTGCGCTGGAATTCTGAATGATAAATTTTTTTAGGCCACAGTTGTCTTTGAAAAGTATGACTAATACCAATGCATAGCTTATAGGCTATTTAGTTTACCCTCAAATTACCCAAATAAGTGAACGGTCCCTATTGAAATATTTATTACCGCAAATTGTAGGTTTATAATTTCAATATATTTGCAACCTGATAATGTAAACTTTAAGTATTTTCAAACTTTATATTTTCTTTATAATTCATAATCTAATTTATCCAAATTCTACGACCTTGAGTTTTGGGGTCAATTCTACTGGGTTTTATATTCCTGGCAACTAAATGTGGAATTAAATTTACACCATGTCATAAACCATTTATTGAATTTTGTGACATTTTCTTGAAAAATTTAAAGTAAATATAATAGTCAGACGAGCAGAAAAACCTATCTTAAACCATTATAAAGATTTATTCACACACAAAGATATAAATATATAATATATATAATATATAATATATATAATATAATGGTGTAGTTAAAATTTGTTTAAATACATTTTTCTATTTGAGAATCAATTTGAGATTTTATTTGAGAATGTAAAGATGGTTATTTCAGAGGTGTACTCATTTTTAGTACCGCAGCTTGTACTGTCTCTGGACAGTAAAGTAAACACAAGACGGATGTTACAGCCTGACATGAAAACCATATTTTACAAAAAATATCAATGAAATATTCTGCTCATAGGAAACTGTTTTGTGAATTATCAAAATTTTAAATATTAAACGCTTTTATCCTCCTCGGATACTAGAGTAAAACTGATGCATCTATTCTTGATTACAAACACCGCCCAGAGAGAACTGGTTTCAATATGTATTCAAAGAATACGCAACAGCAATTAACTTTCCTTGCCCTTATTACCTTGGGTTAATCTAATAGTAAAGATGGATAAGGTTTAACTAATTCCATTCAATTATAAGGTCGAAATACTTTTGAAAAAAAATTAAAAGAATAAATTCAAGAAAGGATTAAAATTCCCTGCAAATCTTTATTTTGTGAATTACCATGATAATATTTTATTGCAAATTGCATAAATTGAAACCATAAAAGTATATTTTACAGAATGCAAATATTTAATATTCTACTGAATATAGATTTTAAAAATATCAGGTTAAAAAAACAATTTTAACAATTTTTCATATGATATAATTTACGCAATTGAGCTTCAAATTATTTTTCTAGAAATAAGATTTTTACCACTTTATTCCTTTAATCAAACTCTTAAGCAGACTTCAATTAGATTTCACCAAAATCAGGGCCGGGNGGGGTTACGTTAACAGCTGAAATTCTAAAAAGTTTAACTGAAATTTTTCACTAATTAAATAATTATAAATTGCTGACTGATTTGTTGGAATAAAAAATATTGTCAGTTTCCCTGAGAAAACTGATTCATTTGAATCTTATTTTAATCCCTTTTTAAAATCTAATATCAGCAAGTAGCTGTGTCACATTAAACTTGAGTATAATTAAATAATTAATTAATTAATTGAATTCCCCGGTTTCTCCACTCCTACACTATACAGTTTATCATCAAATTAAGCATCACATTAAGCATAAAATTAGGCTTATTATTTCAACGTAATTTGAATTTTAAACATTTTTCATTATGGGTTCAAATTTTTAAAAAATCCACAAAAAGAATTTAGTTTTCTTAATCCCTATATATTTGCAACGCAATGGTAAAACTAAGATATTTTAAACTATGAATTTTAAAATATTAAAGGTTTACATAATCAGGTTGCAAAGATATAGAATGAGAAAATTTGAGATTGTTCCAGGCTCAATGCAAGGCCAAAATTACTTTTTTTTAAATCTTTTTGTAATTTACCCAATTTTACAAATTATTTTGAGGGTATACATATTGAAACGAACAAAATGTTTCGCATCAATTATTAATCATCAAGGCCCGATATGTTTGTAGGGTACAACTACACGTTTTTACAGTATAGCTGAAATGATTGTTAGAAAAGAAAATATTTTCAGTGTATAATGTCCTGTTTTCATGATAAAAAATGTCCCAAAAATGTCAGGAATGGTTTTATAAAAAGCAATTTAAAAAAACAAAACATTCCTATTTGTTTCCAAAATTCTAGTCCTTGTTTTTATAAAACATGCTTAATTAGAGTTGAAAAATATAAAAGGAACGAAGCGACAACATTTTTATTCTAACTTGGGATTTCAATGTTCTAAAGTAGACAGGACTACTGGATTAACCTTAGAATTAAGTTGGCTGTTTTTATTCAGCTACATGAGACAAAAAATACATGTTTAATATGAAATCATATAAAAATAAAAATAAAGTAATATTTCTGAAATTCTAAAAAGGTTAAACGTTCTCATCATTTTGAAAACACTAGAACTATATGATTCATGATTTAATCTTGTGATTTTTGTAATATATGCTAATATAATTAATTAGCTGTACAAGGACTTCTGGTAATCGAAACATCGAAATATATTTCCTAGTTTGAAGTTTGTAAAAATGTCTGTAAATTGCTACTTGTTGGACATATCTTAAAGAGACTGCCTGAACGTTTCTTTAAGAGATGGAAGCCAGGATGGTTTGAGGAGAAATGATTGAGTTATTTTTTTTTTTCGTCTCAAGTTCTTCTTTTCAAGTTACAACAAAACTAGACCGAAAAAGAGGGTGACATTTTTCAGATTTCAGGACCTCGTATCCACAAACTCTGATTTCATAAATTCAATCTATCTTTGCAACTAAATGTATAGTTGACCTTTGATATTTCAAACTTTAAATTCTGTTAGATCAAGTTTGAAATATCAAAGGTTTAGACCATCAGGTTTCAAAGATATAGGTATTAGAACCTTTAAGTTTGTTGCAAAAACTCAGTTCTTTTGATGAAAATGAAAATTTTCCGGTTAGACTTTAGTTTGACGTGATGTGGCGCTTTAATTACAGAGTCCCTTTAATTGGGTGAACATTCCCTTTAACACTTTTCATATTTCGAGAAAGCGAAATTGTTGTTCTAACAATGAAACCATTAACCAATTTCTGAAACTAGACAAATTCAAAAGTTTAGAAAGTTTCCAAAATTATAAACCTGGCACTGCAATAGATTAAAAAAAGAGTTATTTATTATTATATTATAAAGATTTATTCACACACAAAGATATAAATATACCATTTCCTGAAGACCTGTTCTGCTAGGAGAAAGCAGAATAATATCATCTGCATATACCCAGATGCCCATATAGACACCCTGGATTTGGCATCCAATCGTTGAACAGCGCAATATCTTGAAAACTTTGTCAATGTATATACAGAATAGCACAGGGGAAGAAACTGCTCCTTGTCTGACTCCATTTTGTACATTGAAGGTATTTGAAAAAGCATTACCCCATAACATAACATTTTTAATTTGAGTAAATGAACATTAAACACCTTAATGCTAGAGGTGAAACACCCCTCTCCAATAACTCTTCCCATGACACAAGATCAAATGCCTTACTCAGATCCATTGCACAAGCATAAACTGCTCTACCAGTTCTGTTGTAATAATCCACTACAGAGTTGACCCCCCAGCTGCACATTGTAGTACTGGCTAGCTTCTGAAAACCAAACTGAAGTTCATCTGTGGTCAGCTTATCAGAGCTTAGAATTAATATCAACCAGTCAAACCATTTTAGAATCAAGGTTCTAATGGCAATTGCCTTGTATTGTAACTGATAGCAATGTCATCTAAGTTGACCTTCACTATGGGCATTAATGTGCACAGTAGTAAAAAAAGCAGGAATTTTGCCTGTAGCCAAATCAATGAAATTCAATTCAGTAACACTTATT